GGAAATTAAATAGAGTGCAGGGCTTAAGGGCATTGCTCAAACCCCTAATCCGGATCCCAGGGTTGCTGAAAAGGCCGCCACGCCCAGCAGTTCAGAAAGAGGAAAACTGTTTCACAGGCTTTGCTCTCCCGGGAGCCCAGTGGGGAGACCTTAGAGCTGCCCTGCAGTCCCAATGCAGACGAGTGTCAGAGTTGGAAAGGAGCTCGGAGAGCCTTCCCCCTTGCTGCCTCCTTACAGGCAGAGAACCTGAGGCTAGACAAAGAGAAGGAACTTGTATGAAGGCATATAGGGATCAGTTATTAATGGAACCCACAAGCAAATACAATTTCAACTACAGGGGGGGGCGACTGGCAACCGTGTCAGGGAACCATTCCCAAGTGGTTTGCTTTTAGCATCATGAGACCCTGCGAACGATACATGGTGGCAAAGGAAAGTTCCCACACGTGGCAGGATGCATCTTGAAAACATGTAGGCAATCAACAAGTGCACTTCCTTTTACAGCTTCGAGTTTTGCAAACTCGAGCGTCATGTTTTGTACAATTTTGCAAAACCTTAAGAAGAAGAGGGCAAGCGAAATGGAGAGAAGGAAAACCCTGACACACAGTGACAAGAAGCATGGCTTCGGAGTTTTGATCAGTTATGATGCATCCCACAGCAACCAAGCCCTTGACTTGTCAACTCCCCTAATCCTTACAAATGCCCAGAGGAAGTGTTTTGGTTGCAGCCATTTTTCAGATAAGGAGAACGAGGCTCAGAGAAGTTAAAACAATTGTTCGAGATGGAAATCTGGCCTTTCTGTGTTTTTCACTTAATTCTCCAGTATAAGTCCTTTTTAGAGGCAGGAATGATTCTTCTATGATCTCACTTGTCATGGCTGCTTACAGTTCCACTGTAGCAAGGGAACCAAATCTCTGCTGGCAGGAGCTGTGGCTCGCCCCTACAGCAGAGGTCTATAAGTTTTCTGTTAAACAGCCAGAGAGTCAATACCCGCTACTTTGCTGACCCTGTGATGGTGCACTAACTAGTCAACTCTACCTCTGTAGCCCATGAAAGTAGCAGCAAGCAAGGCATAAGCCAATGGGCGTGGCTGTGTTCCAATAAAACTTTATTTATAAAAACAGGAGGCGAGCTGGCTTTGGCCCGCAGGCTGCAGTTTGCTGACCCAAGCCCTGCAGTGTTGCCAGCACCTTGCTATAAATGCTTACTGATAACAGTCACTGTTGTTATATATCAAAAGAGCTGTAACAAGATCTGGTGGCAGGTCTGTGAACCAACTCACCAGGCACAGACAGTAAATCCAGGACAGCGGTGATTCTCAAACTTTACTGTGTATGAGAATCCATGGAGCTTATTAAAAATGCAGAAGTGGGGGTGCCTGGGTGGTTCAGTCAGTGAAGCATCTGCCTTTGGCTCAGGTCATGATCCCAGGGTTGTGGGATCAAGTCCCATGTTGGGCTCCTTGCTCAGCGGGGAGTCTGCTTCTCTGCCCCTCCTCTGGCTTGTGCTCTCTCTCTCTCTCGCTCATTCTCTCTCTCTCTCTCAAATAAACAGAATTTTTTTAAAAAATTGCAGAAGTGGGACCCCACACTAGAGAATCTCACTCAGACAGATCTGAGTTAGGACCCGAAAATCTGCAATTTTAATGAGCGCTTTCAGGTATTCTCTAATGAACATGCTGGGGATGTGGTTAGAAGAACACAGTTGGGTGGCCCCTGGGCTGGGAAGGAAGAAATTGCGAGGAGGCTGGCAGCCATCTCGTCATAGGAGAGCAGCCGGGGACGCCCCCAGCACGACAGCCCTCGGAGCCATGTGAGGATGCCCCCGGAAGGGACAGTGACTAGATAAGCAAGGAGTGGTAAGGACAACAGCCCTCATTAGAAGACCACCTACAACCCAACAACTCTTAGGTCCCTGTTCTCCATATTCAAATGGCGACAAGGGGGGCAGAACTTGCCTACAGATGCTTAGCTTGGAGGTATCCGTTTGTAATCTTGCCGTACAATCACAGAACCTGGACAAAGACCTGAGGATTTGAGAGACTGGAAAACCGGGACAAGGAGGAAGAACCAGGCTCGGGTTGGAGGTGAGTCTTCCCAGGGGGTTTGAAGTTCAAATAGGTCCGTAGGGGGAAATGCGGGGCTGCCCAAAGAGCTCTTGATTCTGGTGACTGGCTGCTTTTCCAAGAGCCTCTAGGGCAGGTCCTAGGATTTCCAGTTCCATGCAAGGGAGTAATGGTTCACAGAATTAAGGTCCCATGACTCACTCTACCCGTGCGCACCTGCACCAGAATTCAGGCTCCTGACCCCTAGCTTTCCTGCTATAGTTGGATAAAAGGAACCCAGCTACCTCCTATCCCAGGGAGTGGCTAACCTTCAGTCCACAGGCAGCATCAGTAAATGTTTGCTGCATTCTCTTGGTGCCTAAATAATTTTCTTTTCTCTCTTACAGTATTTTAGCACAGATAGTAATAAAAGCATATACATTTGACCCTTGAACAACACAGGGGTCAGGGACACCGACACATCAAGCAGTTGAAGATTTGCATGTAACTTTTGACTCCCCCAAAACTTAATTACTGGCAGCCTGCCTTTGATCAGAAGCCTTACCGATAACATACACAGTCGATGAACGTATATTTTGTGTTACACGTATTACACGCTGTATTCTTACAATCAAGGAAGCTAAAGAAAAAATGTTAAGAAAATCATAAGGAAGAGAATACATGTATAGTACAGTCCTGTATTTATTAAAAAGAAATCCATGTAGAAGTGGACACGCACAGTTCAAACCCATGTTGTTCAAAGGTCAACTGGATCTACAGTAGGTCTACCACTCATGGACACCTTCTGTACTCAACAGGCCGCATTCATTGGAAATAATATTCACGGTGTCCCCATGATACCCGTTGAATAATTTGTGTGTATTTCACAGATGCCCCACATCTGTAAAATGCTATACCCATTTTAGAGATGTGGAAACAAAGGCTCAAGAAGGGGGAGTGATTTTTTTCCCCCCCAAATTGTAGAGTTTTTAAGTAGAAGAAGTAGGATTTGATGTTTAACCACCATGCCACAACCATCTCTAGCTTCGGAACGCTCTATTATGTAAGGTCTCCTTTGCTCCTCAGAGCAATCTGTGGTTTGTTTTGGTAAGATGGTGGTTCTTAAAATGTGGGAAAAGAAGAAGGAGAGGGGAGGGGAGGGGAAGGGAAGGGAGGGGAGGGGAGGGGAGGGGAGGGGAGGAAAGAAAGAAAGAAAGAAAGAAAGAAAGAAGGAAGGAAGGAAGGAAGGAAGGAAGGAAGGAAGGAAGGAAGGAAGGAAGGAAGAAAATTGAAAAAGTGTGGCTCATAGCCCAGCAGCTTCAGCAACCCTGAACCTGTTAGAAATGCAAATTCTCAGGCTCTCCCTGAATCTGATGACTCAGAACTATCTGTGAGGAGGAAGACCTGTGTCCTAACAAGCTCTCCGGGCAGTTTCAATGGACACTCAAGTTTCAGAACTAGCACATAAGGAATCTTATTCTCTGATTATAAATGAGGGAACAAAGGAACAGAGAGGTTTGGCAGCTTGTGCAAGGATGCACAGAAAGTGGTTGGAGGGCTGGGCCTATCTCTGGGGCTGGAGCCCCCAGATCTGCATTTTAACGAACTCCCAGGTGACTCCAGAGTTTGAGAACTTCCCCCAGAGAATCACATAGCTCTTGCCTCTTCCCACACCCCTAGACAGGGTACCAGAAACCAGCAGAACTCAGGTGCCCTGCCTTATACCTCTCAGTTGTTAAGCTGTTTAATTTTTTAAAAATCGCAAGTCAACCACAAATATGTTTATTGTAAGACTTCAAATACTACAGAACTTTATAGATTTTTAAAAAATGAAAGCTGATTCTCTTCTGGCCCTCCCCCCAAATCCGGACCACCCCCAGTTACCGTTAACAGTTTGGTGTGTAACTTTGCAGACATTTAAAATTCTTATTTAAATACATATATGCACACATACACTCAGATGATAATTCAAACCAGAAATGGGACTTACTATTATTACACTCTGGCATGACCCACTTAATGGGCTATACTATACATCTCTGTGTGTGGTGTGTTTTTCAGGACACGGAAATATAGCTCATTCTTGCTAATGGTTATAGAGTATTCTGCTTCTGAAAATATCTTGACTGACTTAACTAGTCACCAATGGATAGAGATTTTTGTAGCCTCTTGTTTTTCACTACTACAAACAGTAATAAAATCCTTATAGGTATACTTTTTGGAACATGTGTCTGTCTAAAAGGTTGACCACCTTGAATAGGAAATACTGGGATCCTTGCCTTCGGTCCTCTCGACTGTTCTACTCTATCCCTCTCCAGCCAGTCTTTTCTATGCCTCATGGGGAGATTTGGCACAGAATGACTGCTACTCACTACTGTTGATCGTTTTGCTTTTGACTGGCTTCTGGGGGGAACGGGAGGGTTGAAAAAGGAAAAAAAAAAAGTTTTTCTTTCTTTCCTTCTTCCTTTATTTCCCAAGGTGGGAAGATTATCCTGAATGCCAATTTGAGCTTTAAGATGGAAACTATGGGATGATGCTCTCCTAGAGACATTCCTAGAGGGACAGAAGGAGTGGCAGTTCCCAGGACCCAGGGAAAGTTCGTGACTTTTCCCAGGTTGAATGTGAATCATGACAGAGCTCGGGTCAGCTGTGCTCTGACTCGCTGTGGCTGGGGACAATTTTCTGAGGTCTCTCAACCCCGGGTGATTTCAGTATAAGCCCCACACGGCCATCCGCACCCCACCCCCCACCACTTCCCCAGCTCTCTATGACTCAGTCACATACTCATCCCGAGTCATCAGAGAATGGAAATCATGAGAAAAGCCTGGCTCGCACCCAGGGAGTGACAGAGCACATCCAGAAAATCAGGGATTCCCTACTCTGCCAAGGAAGCGTGAGTGGAGACAGCTGATTCTCCACGGTCAGGAGGGAGACGCTTCAAAGCGCCAGGCCACTGTGCTTGGCAGAGAAGCCTGTTGTTTTGGAAAACTGGGCATTGAAGCAATTGCGAATCGCTTTAAAGCAAGAGGAACATGAAATATGGCACGCCACAGGGAGGAACTATTATCTCTAGTCTCCTTGGGGTCATCCTCTTAAGCATAAATAGTATTTAAAACCCATTTTCTCCCTGGTTAATAGCTAATTTTGTTGTTGTTGTTGTTGTGAAAAAGCCACTCTGTTTGGGGCACTGCACTAGGCACTTAGAATACTTTATTCCCTCTAATCCTTAGGACAGCCCTTTTGATAGGCAGGATTATGATCTGTATTGTTCAAAGAAACAAGAGACCCTAAACAGGCACCTTGCTGCCTAGTTACAAGAATCTGGACCCCAGGCCTGGTGAATGATTGTGATTAGAACAGAATAAAAGGTCCCAATGCACATTAACAATCATTATCATAAAGCAGCGAAGTTTGTATTTATTGATTGCCACTGTGTTACGGAGAAGCCCCCCCACCCAAAATTAGTGGCTAAAACTAGAAACATCTCTTATCTCGCAGGTTCTGAAGGTCAACAATCTGGGAGCAGTTTAGCAGGATGGTTTGGGCTCCGGGTCTTCTGAGAAGTTACTCTCAATTGCCTGCAAGGCTGCAGTCTCATCTGATGACCCAACAGGGAAATCCATTTCCGAGCTCACTCATGTGGCTGTTGGCAGGAGGTTTAGGGAGTGAGAGAGAGAGAGAAGTTGCAACCTCCTTTATTATCTAGTCTCTGGAGTTACAGACCGTCACTTCTGCTGCATGCCATTGGTCACACAGAGCAATCCTAGTCCAGTGTGGGAGGGGACTATAGAAGGGGAGGATCACTGGCGGACATCCCAGAGGCTGGCTGCCATATTAGGATGCATCTCTTAGCTAGAAAATCTTCAAGCAAGTCCGGTCATACAACACACCAAAGACCCGGTATCCTTTGTTTATTTTTCCTCTCCATCTACCACTCAGACCAAACTCAGATGCGTGACGTAGAAAGAAGCACTTCTCACCAAAGTGCAGGGAGATTCTATCTCAATTCTGCACAAGCATACCACCCAACAAACCTGATGCCCATCAACTGTCTGTTCGACAAATGAGCAGGTTGCTCTATCCTGTCCCTTATCTTCTTGAAAGCAGGATGTTGCTTATTCCAACTTTGCCCCTACCTCAAAATCAACTCTCCACCCTGCTTGACCTCTTTGTGTCCCGGAAGGCTGGAGCATGCAGGCTATACGAACTATGTCCCTTGTCACTCACTTTCGGTTGAGTTTGGCTAATGGGAAGCACCAGCAGGAGACTGGGGGATGTCGAGAGAGAGGTGTCAGAGTGTTAGTGCCCCCATGTCTTCTTTGCTTCGGCATCATGGTGCTGAGAGAAATCATGGTCCTCCAGGTGTGCACTGCTTCTGGGGGGCCACACCCCCCATGGCTCCTGAGAGCTCCACTTCCTCTCATCACCCCTGCATTCCAGGGTTAGATACAGCTTCCTGCCATTAGAAGTTTCTGCATGCTTTAGCATCCCTTTCTGGTTCTGTTAGTTTGGCTCACACCTCTGTAAATAACTCCTCTAGAAACATCTCTGACTTCAACCATTGGAATGGTATTTTTTCTTCTAGGATCCAGACTCCAAAGAGAATGAAATGGTCTCTCACTTGCATGCCTTGGTTTCTTCACACTTTGAGACAATTCTTTAGGCATGTGTAAATGTAGAGGAGGGAAGAGGGCTCATTTTAGTCAACACAGAATTTGAGTAATCCTGTGAGACACATTAGGGAAGATGAATATTTTAGATTTATATGGCCGTGACTACTACCTCACAACACTGGTGCCCATTTGAGTCATCAAGAATTTTATACATTTTTAATGCAGAATGCATGACTGTATATAGGCTTTCACAGGATTCCCAGGGGATGGTCACCGGGACACTGAGATTTGGGGAACTTGAGAAAGTCTTTCCTCAAAATACCCTACCAAATCAATCACAGTGTTCTACTTGGGTTATTTAATGCTGTGTATGATCTCCACTTTATTGCATTTTTTTTTTCATAAAGACCTTTATTGGTTTTTTTTAGGGGGGTGGGTTTTTTTTCCTGGGGAAAGACAGAAGAGTCAATCTAGGTTTTAAAAGTTCCTTCCCTCCAAAGCAGAATTGCGATGGTCCCCTATTACTACATGTATGTGAAAGAGAAGAAAGCCAGCAAAGCTGGAAAAGATTTTGCAAACTACCTACTCATGCATTCATTCATCCATTCACTCATTCATTCTGAAACCCTCGCCTCGTGTCATGGAAGGTTCTGAGTGTGCAGAAATAAATCAGACAGGGTTGCTTTCCTCAAGAAGTTCACAACCTAAGGAAAATCAGCTGATAAAAGCAAAAACAGCCCACAGAGGGTCATGCTGAGGGAGCATCGCCCATACACTGTGTTCTGCAGTGACAGATTAATCGATGGGGATAAATCTGTTTGCTCACATTGGAGAACAAGGTTTTTCTCAGGCAGGCTCTTCGGAGGAGGAGAGGGGAATGAGGAAGGGTAAAGCCTGGAGAAGAACCTTCTAATTAAACTATACCTCCAAGCTAAAGGAAAAAAAAGTCTTTAATGAAAGGAGAAAAAAGGTCTTCTCACTTGCCCACAACGAAGAACCCTTGCTCGAGAGCGGCTCCTAAAGTTGCCACGGTGCCTGGACCATTAGTCTGATCACCAGCTATCAGGTCAAGTCCAAGAGAGACAGGTCCCATACACCTGTACCACCATAATTACACACACACACACACACACACACACGCACGAGCGCACGGAGGTAGAAAGACTCTTGGATTGTGGTTGTTTGTGTTCGGGGGGGGAAGGCTCTGCTATTTTTTTCTTGTCATTTGCGAGATCTAAAGACGTCGACCTGGAAAGATGTTTGCACTTTATTATTGAGTGGAAACATTTGGTGTTAGCTACCAAAAGGTATATACAGTTTCATCTCTCTCTCTCTCTTTCACACATACACACATATTTTTATACATATATACACATGTATGTTTAGAAAAAAATTGAAAAGATAGAAGAAGATAAACATTTTAAATCTAAGTTACAAATTACAGGTCATTTTTACTTTCTTCATTGTCTTTTTATGTATTTTTCTTCAAATTTGTTTCCTTCTTTTTTTCCCCCTCCCCAGTGATCCAAACTTCCCATGGTGGGGCGGGAAAAGGAATACTGGATTAACGGGATTTAAATAAATTATTTTTTCTTACAGGATTTATCAGAGCCTTTACTATCCTAACATTCACCGAAACTCCAGATTATCCATTAATATATAATAACGTAGCTGCCATTTATTGAGTATGCCAGGCACTGTTTGGAGACTTTTTCCAATTTTGAACCATTTATTTTTTGCTGCCATTTATGGAATGCTTTCTATGTGCCAGGGTCTCTCATCAGGGCTCTTTACCTCCCCTTTCATAATCATAATTTTCTTTCTTTTTTTTTTTTTAAGATTTTATTTATTTATTTGAGAGAGAGAGAATGAGAGACAGAGAGCATGAGAAGGAGGAAGGTCAGAGGGAGAAGCAGACTCCCTGCTGAGCAGGGAGCCCGATGCGGGACTCGATCCCAGGACTCCAGGATCATGACCTGAGCCGAAGGCAGTCGCTTAACCAACTGAGCCACCCAGGTGCCCCATAATCATAATTTTCTTTACATAATCCTTTCAGTTACCTCCCAGAGAAGGTGCTGCTATGGTTCCCACTACACAGATCAAGACAGTGAGGTCTAGAAAGTTTGCCTTTGTTCTTGCCTTAGTTCACATAACCAGTAAGTTGTGAATTCAAGATTTAATCAGGATTTGCATGTAAATACATTTTTTAAATTGTCCAAAAAAAGGACTAGGGAATTAATGCCCAATAAACTTATTTGTAGGGTTAAAGGGATGGGTAAAACTCACAAGAATTTGAGTTAGTTCCCTACCTACCACATATTCTGGAAGCCAAGTTCCTTAGCCAAAGTGGCCAGATATTGGTGTGGTTGAAGGTAAGTGGAAAAAAAAAAAAAGAAAATCAGACCCAGAGCCAAGAGTATGAAGTTATTTTTGTAAGTGTATGTGTTTACGTGTGTAACTCTGTTATACTTTTTAAATTCTAAGATGATTTTCCTTATAAGATTCAGTATTAGTTTGATGTCAGCTCTCAGGGGGTGTGGGATAGGTGTTGTGAAATATTACATACATGTATTATTATTTATCTTAATATGCACCATGATCTCAGAAATCAGGAGAGTGTGTGTGCGCCTCACAACCAAGGAAATACTTATGACAGGGGATCTTTCCAAAAACAAGGAGCGAAATATTCCTCATTTCCTCTGCCTTCCCCATGTTTCCTATACTGAGTACTTAGTCCTTGGTAATAATTAAAAAGAAAATTAATACATCTTTAAAAAGAAAGTAGTTGCCCTTGAAAACATCTTTTTGCACTATACCCTTTCTTTCCTTGTACCCTGTGTGAACCCATGGGGGTGGAGATCCGGAGACCCCCATGCCTCACAGGGCGGCATTACCGTATTACCTACAGATGACCCATTTTACAGATGAGAAAAAGAGGAATCAAGTCAAATTCAATTTAGAATCCCCAACCCGTTTGTTTTAGCAAGGGTTTCTGGTTGCCTAACAACCGCTTCCTGACCCCAAAGGGGCAGTGGATGGAGAGAGAGATACAAGAGAGAGAATCTCGAAGAAATCCCCAGACAAGAAGGGGGTAGGGCAAAACACAAGGAGGAGATGCAAAACACAAGGTAACTTGAAGGAATACCCATGGCCAGCGGTTTGGGATTTTTCCCCTCTTCTTAACATCACTCAGCCCCACTTGCTTCCCACTTCGGATCGTCTTCCTTACTTCCTTGCCTGCACTGTGCTGCCACCATGACCGACAGACCTCGTACACTCTGGATACTTCCCAGTCCACCACTCGCCCTGAGTCCATACTCATCCTATTTCCTTGCATACTGACTCCATTCATTTGTATATTTCTTCCTCATTCATTCATTCATTCATTCATTCAACAATTGATGGAGCACCAGTTCTCTGAGAGTTCTAAGCACTGGGCACATAGCAATAGACAAAACAGCCAGCAACAACATGATAGTGACTCTAAATAAAATATACAAGTAAGTCATGTAGCATGTCCGATAGGATTGAACAAAGTAGGGTGAGTGCCGTGGGAGGGTTGGGGAGGTTGCAATTTTAAATGGGGTGGTTAGAATAGGCCTCCATGAGGGGCCATTTGAGCAGAGTTAGGAGTGAGGGAGCATCACCTGCTGCTATCCTGGGGAAGAGTGTCCCAGGCAGAACAGCCCGTGCAAAGGCTCTGGGGTAGGAACCATGCCTGATATGTCTGAAGACCAGCAAAGAGTCCTATGTGTCTGGAGGGAAGTGAGGGAAGGGGACACATCAGAGATGAAATAATGGAGAGAGCAGCAGGTGTAAGGTGAATGATGATGTAGAGCCTTCGGGTCCTAGTAAGGGCTTTGGTGTTTACACTCTGGTCTAACGAAAAAGAGTATTTCACCCAAACACTCAGAGACGCTCTTTGTACGTTATGGCTGTGCTGAAAGCAGAAAGAGCTATGGCAACTTTTCATTCGGGGGAGAAGAGCTGAAAGCACAATGCAGATAAAACAAATAGGAAGGCTCAGCGTGCACGTGCACACGCGTGCACACATATGCACACGTCCGAATGCACACGCATGCACGCACGCACGGGTGTGCACAAACACACACACAAACGGGAGTGATATAAGTAGAGGAATGGCGACCATGGCAGCCTGGAGCCTTGGGCTGATGTCGAGGAGAGCCTCAGCACTAATGCTAATGAATTCTGATGATTTGGGGCGGTCATTAAACTAATAAGCCCATCTCCAAATTAGCACAGTGGCTGCAGCCAGTGAACATTTAATCAAGCCGCCTTCATTATTTTCGACACGGCACACTTGGTGAAAGTGACTGTGGGAGACGGGATGGGGGACCCTCATCTGATGGTTTTATCACTTGCCTGCCGGAGCGTGAAGCAATCGGTGTGATGAAGTTGCTCTGTTGGTTTTTTCCCTGCCAGAAGGGGATGCCAGCGAAGGGCGAGCCTTCTTTTCCTCCCTAATTACCGGATGCCCCTCTTTTTAAAAAATATCTTGGGGTGGATTCATTATTTATTCTTTTGAGCTTATTTGTTCAAGGTTTATTATTTGATGCCCATCTTCTAGAGAAGGTTCTCTCTCTGCTTTGGTTCCTCCCATTTTTTTCCCCACTGCTCTCCCCTCCAAAAAAATGGACCACCATCCTCCTCCCCTTCTCAACAACCCAAACCTTGGAAACCTCCGCTCAGGCGGTTCTGTGTGAGGAGGGAGGACCGTGAGTGCCCTCAGGAGCTTCCTGATTCTTTCTCTTGAAACATCCAGCTGAATCCTTCTTTGTCGCCTGTCCCTTTGACCCTGAAGCATCCCCCTTTCTGGACAGTATTATTAGCTGTGGCCTCATCAGATCAGGGTGACCAACTGGTCCCAGATTTCTCAGGACTTGGCTAGTTTTAGCCCTGAAAGTCCCACCGCCGGGGGGAGAAACTCTTCGTCCCTGAGAAATGGGATAGCTTGTCCCCATGGCAGAGACCCACCATCATTGTGTCTCCTGTTGGGCTTCTGTTTCCCACATATGACTTGGCTCTAGGTATAATTTCCATTGTTGGTAAAGGATGACATGCTAACAGTTCCTGGGAAGCAGTGCTTTCTCTCCCTCTCCTTCTCTCTCTTTCCCTCTCTCCCTCCCTCCCTCTCTCTCTCTCTTTCTGTTTCTGTGTCTCTGTCTCTCTGTCTCCTCCTTTGACCTTTTCTCTTCTCTCTGACTCTCTCTGTATCTGTTTCTCTGACCAGGAGGATTAAATGAGCTATGTGTAATGCCTGTTTCTGCAATATCCAATTAAGTGTCATTGTTCCTGGAAGGTTCCACAAGGACTGCGGCATCCAACACTCTGATTTTTAAGATTCCAATCGGCTTTCCCGAGTGCATGGTGGTGGGGGGCGGGGGGGACGGGTTCCCAGCTGGAGTAGCTTTGGGCCTTGGTTTGCATGTGGAAACTGGGTTTGGAGAGATGAATAGCACGTTCAGGATGCTGCAGGGCTCATCTTTGGTGGTCCCTGGCCTGGTACCCTATCCTGCCCAGCCCCAAATGCTACCTTCTGAGCCACTACCCCTTATGGCCTTAGGGGAGCCACTCAACTTCGGTTTCTCCCTATTACAAAAAGACAAATAATCCCTGCATTTTTGTCCTCACAGGAAGACTTAGGCTGGAATGAACAAACATACCACGGAACGTTCTCGAGAGGGAAAGAAAGTATGAAGTCTGACGATCATTGTCTTGCCCTCAGGTATTTCCTTTGCTCTGTCTTGGACAGAAAGTGGAAGGGTGTGTGAACGCATGTGCATGTTCCTTCTGCTGAACGATCCCCCACCAGAGTTCTCAGAGGTGGTGGCCCCATGGAGTCATGGGAAGGGTAGCTGGCGAGGGAGTATTAATCCTACCCCAAAGAATTCGACACTAACCGATGTTCTTACCTTTGCAAACACTTAGGTCAGGCCTGGGGAGGTCTCCTGCTTGGAGAGGCAAGGAATCAGTCCGCGGAGCTGCAGAAACAGAGCAGGAAAGGAATTAGGTAAATAAACACATCATTTGAAGGTGACGAGGTGGTTGACAGGAGCCCCGTTGTGGGTGGTTCCATTGATCAATATTTGCGGAATTCTCCTATGAGATGCCATCCCGAGTCTTTAGAAGATGTCACTCTAGTTGCAGAGGTAAAGGAAAATGTCTTTAGAAAGGAGAGCTTCCAGTCTGGGCATGTGGCAATTCATTCCCTTTCTGGAATGCTAATGCCAGCTCCCGATGAGTGAGCATCCACAGGCACCGGCCATGGGCTGTGCATTAGCTCAGGGTCACATAGGTCCCCAGTGACCAGAGAGACTCGCCGATGCTAGGTGGCTTACCTGCTAGAAGCCAGGCTTCCGCGCACATGGTCTTGACCACTAAGCTATGCTTCCTCCCTCCCCTGAGCGTCAGTCGGGATGCGCTAACTGTGCGATCGTTAACATGCACGCAGATCATAGTTAAGATGGACACAGATCAAAATGCAGATTCTGATTCAGGAGGTCTGAGGGGGGGCCCAAGATTCTGCATTTCTCACAAGCTCCCAGGTAGGGCTGATACAGCTGGTCTGCAGGTCACCCGTTAAGTGTGAAGGGGTTACATTATGCCACAGTCACAAACATTCCCCCAAATCTCGGCAGGTTAAAATAACCAGGGCTCCTTTCTGAGTCAGGCCACGTGTTCATCACAGGTCAGCCAAAGGCCCTGCTCCATGCCACGGTCCTTTTAAGAATAAGGATAATGGAGAAGCTCTCATTTGGGATACGGAGGCTCAAAGAGGGGTGGAAAAGACCTTCGGTGGACGGGCGGGGGAGGGGGGGGCTCACACCCGCTGTTAAATGCTTCAGGCAGGAAGTGACACAGATCACTTCTGCTCACAACTCATTGGCTAGAACTGGTTACATGATCCCATCTAATCACAAGGAGGGCGGGGATAACGTAAGGCGTGGGGAGAGCCAGAGAGCCAGGAATACTTGGTGAGCATCAGTGAGATTACCACAACCTGCCTCCAAAACCATCCGTCAAGTGTTTAACTAGCGCTTCCTAAGCGGCCAGTGCTGAATGAGGTATATGGGGCTATTCCAAGCTGGTTGCCCTCCCTTTCCCACCGACCCTGGCTACTTCAACAATGAAAAGGAAAATATTTGAGGGGCAGTTCATGCAGGCACACAAAAGGCACACTGAAAGTTTTGCAACTTTAAAACATGCAGTGATTACAAACAAGCTTTTCTGAGTTATGCAAATTTAAATTGCACAAGACTTTCCAGAATAAAACTATTGAGTAAGACAGGAGCGTCAGTGCGTTTCAAAGAGATCATTCTGGGTGCATGGTTTTGCATACTGCTTTTTCTTAGTTTATGCCAACAGTTGTCTGTATCTTGGGTTTGACCCTCTGTATCTTTTTCTCAGGCTACAATATTCTACAATGTATCTAACCAATCAATATTGTTGAATATTTCCTTTGTTTCTGACTTTTTTTTTTTTTTTTGCTATTATTTCAGCAGTACAATGAATAAGCTGGTGACCAAATTTTGCTGCACATCCACATTTATTTCTTTAGAAAAAAAATTCCTGGAAGGGGAAGCATTTAAAGAAAATGAATACTTTTCAGGGTTTTGATGCCTAGTGTCAAATGCTATCATAAAGTTGTATCAATTCAGAATCCCATCAACATTGTATGAATGTCCATTACAGCTGACTCTCACAAGGAATGGTAAATAGGCTTTGATTGTAAACTTGAGAGTGAAATATGTTATTGTGATTATAGTTTGAGTTTCTTTGGTCACCAATATGTGTGAATATTTTTTTAAAAAATATTCATTAGTGAGTTTTTCATTCTCTACCATATATTGGTCCATGACCCTGTTCCATTTCATTTTCCTTTTGGGTTTTAGAACTTTGCTTATTCTATGACGATTCTATTACATAATTCTATTCTTTACATAGAAGAGCACATAACCTTTTGTTTAACACATATGGAGGTAAAATTCTCTCCAATTTTTCTCTTGTATTTTAGCTGTCTTTTGAAAAATAAATAAACATGACCGAGGGAGGTCTGAAATGGTGTTCCTTTTATGGGAACAATTTGACAATAAATTATCAAAAACTTCGAAAACTTAATACTTCTTGACTAAGCCCTTCTACTTCCCGGAATTTTTCCTAAGGAAACCCACATGAATGTTGAATGATATTTAGGTACTTGCTTATTCACTGTAGTGTCGTGAGTGATCGCAAAATGAGGTCTTTATTTCCTTGGGTGAGACTTACCTAATCTTTTTTCCTCTATTGTTTTTGTAAATGTTAAGTCTTAGCTGCTATACTAAGAGAGACAAATATGTCATTTTAATATGCTTCCTGGATTTTTTTTTGCTTGATTAAAAATGGATAAATAAATAGGTAAGTAGATGGATAGATGGATAGATGGAGCATGGGTAAGTAGATAGACAGATAAATAGATATAGAGATAGATCGATCTCTTTGATCCGATGGTTCTCTACATTAACTGTGCATCAGAATGACTTGCAAGGCTTTCACTCACACAAGTCTGGGCTCCTCCCCCAGAGGGAATGACTCAGTTGGGCTGGGTGGGGTCCAGGCGTGAGGGAAAGATCATGAGAGGTGGTATTGGGAACAGAAGCCAAGAACCAGAGGGAAAAAACAAGGGGCTGCTGAGTCACCAGAGGCAAGAGCTAGAATGCAGAATTACCAAGTTCCTGCCTAACTCAGAAAAAGCCCACACTCTCAGTACGGCCTTGAGGCTCCTTCCGACTCAACCTGGAGCATGGCTCCCAGCTCACCTTGTCCCAAGCTCCCCAGCCTCAAGGCACCAGATCTGTTGGCCTTTTTTTCTGTCCCCCATCTTACTAGGCCAGATCCCTCCCTAGGGCCTTTGCTCTCATGGTTTCCTCGACTGGGACACTTTCATCTGACAAAGAGCTGTTTAACACTTTGTTCAAAAGCCACATCCCCCGAGAAGCCCAGCCAGGGGCCTGTAGGGTACAACACTGCTCAAGGTCCCTGTCCCCAGGTGTGTCTCAGGCACCTTTGGGATCTCTCCTCCATCCCTCTCCATGGCTCAGTCCTCTCCATGCCTTTCTCAGCTCACCAAGACCCCCCTGCTTCTCCTCATCCCCTACTCTGAATTGTCAGCAATCCTTGTCCCCTGGATGTGATATGGGGGTGGTGAAGCATCACCTCCAAGCATGGCCGGTTCCTCAACCCCATCCCTTCCACATTATGCTGAAAGGATGTCTGTCTCTCTTCACCTTTAGCTGTGTTACCAAGCACCCCTTCTTTTCCCGAACATAGGGGGCAAACACAGGGAACATACTGTACCCTACACATGAACTATTACACCGACCCCTTGGAAACCAAGTGAGACTTCGTTCCGTGCCATAAAAAGAAAGAGGCCTATGTGGTGGCGACCAGGGTTAACTAGACTCACTGGGGTCATCATTTCCTAATATGGACCAATACCGAATTGTTATGTTGTACACCTGAAACTAATATAATGTTATATGTCAGTTATATCTCAATAAAACAATAGGAAGTAATGGTCAGACTTAAGGAGAAAAAAAAAAAAAAAGAAAGCAAAGAAGAAGGTAGCATCTATGTTTAAAGGGGACTGACCGTGTTCCAGGTCCTGTGAGGACGATGAGGACGGAGACCCTCTCCTCCCCCTACCAGGGTCTCTCAGGCTCCCTCCTCCCTCCTGCTCTCTGCACCCAACAGCTCCTTGTCGTACCCTTAGCTTACCGCACCCAGTGTCCCTCCCATGACCCCTCTAAGCATTTGCGGTTCTAATGTCTGTTGTTGAAACCATTCAAGAGTTGGGTGCAGGTTTTAAGCAGGGGAGTGACAGCGATCTGTTTGGCTCCTTATGGGGGAGACAGCGATGCAGATATAATTGATGTAGAGTTACATCGGTGGTATTTCTTCATTCACGAAGCATGTATTGAACACCTTCTATGTGCCTGGTCCTGTTTAGGTAATGGGCACTGCAGTGGGTGCCATGAGAGGGGTAAGGCAGAATGCCCTAGAAATGTACTGGGGCATCCCTTGACTCACTTTGAGGATTCAGATGAGCTTCTGGACACAAGGTAGTGACTGAGTAGGAGCTAAAGGATGTACAAGGGATAAAATGTTCCAGGCAGAAGGAATAGGGAAAACAAAGCCCAGGGAGGAGGGCATGGGGGTGTTTAAGGAACCTCGAACAGTTCAGCATGGGGTGTAGCTCAGAATGCATTAGGAACAGTGAAGAGTCCAGGGAGGTAAGGAAGGGCCAGGGGTTTGGGCTTGCTGATCCAGAGGCCAGATGCTACCCAAACACATGTATTTTCTTCCACTCGTGTCATTACATTAAAGACCATTTTGGAAATGGCCAACATTTAAAGAAAAAAAGTTATTTTAATTCCAGTGTAGTTAGCATATAGTGTTATATTAGTGTCAGGTGTCCAATAGAGTGATTCAACACTTCCATATAGTACTCAGGGCTCAGTACTCTTGACGCCCTCGCCCACCTCCCCAGAAATGGTCAACATTTCAAAATTGGCAGATTTCACATAAAAAAATAAAAGCTTCCAACTTTTTTAAAGTGGGGGCAATCTGGCTACACTGGGTCCCCACTTGTGTGCATCCACCATCAGCTGGGCCCAGTGACCACCGTTCCTGGTCTCTCCAGTATGCCACAGTCCCCACCCCTCCTCGTTGTCTCCCACTCCACTCACCTATATCCCGACTGTGTCCCTGCACACACTGTGCTTCTGACATCTGTTGCCGGGATGGAGAAACCAGCAGAGGTTTGATTCCTTAGGCTTTTGAAGGCCGTGGTAAGGAATTGGGCTTTTACCTTAAAGGCAATGAAGATCTGTTGAAGAACCAGAAAGAGAGGTGCAGTCAGGTTTTTGTGATTTAAAGCACTTTCTAGTGCACACATACGTTCACAGAAAGCTATGACCTGGACACTTCATAGCACTTGGTAGTACTTATAAAAGTCCCAAACGGAAAACTTCCTACATGCCCATTCTTGGCAGAATGGAGGAATAATTGTGAAATAGTCACACAATGAATAGGAAAGTAGGGATTAAAAAGAATGATGATCTACACCCCCCCCCCCCACAATAACATGGAAGACGCTCACACAAATAATACTGTGTGAAAGAAGCAGACAAAAAGGAGTGGGGACCTTCACATTCCATTTAGGTCAAGTATGGAAAGAGTCTAAGCAAACTGCTGGGGTTAGAAGTCCAGCTATTGTTTGCCTTAGGGAAAGGGGGACACAAGGCTGCCGATGATGCTGGGTGCTGGTTATGCCACGTGTGTTCAGTTTGTGACAACTGATCAGGCTGAGCCTTTACAACCCAGCCCTTTTCTGGTCATATACTTTCACTTAAAAAAAAAAATCATCCATTTCGGCACCATGTTAGAGATGACAGTGGTGGCTGGTCCCGGGTGGTGGCTATCAGTCTTACAATGGGTAGCGTTAAGAGACACCGAATAAGAGAAGAAACCCTACAGGACGTGGCTCTGCAGAGATGAATGGAGGAGAGCTTGGGGGTAGGAGGAAGATCACAAGCATACATAGATGAGCAGGCACGCTCAGAGGAAAGTGGAGACTCTCTCCTCTCGACCCTACAAGACGTGGAGTGCAAATGGCAGCAAGCCCCACAGATGCCCCCCACCCCCAATCAGGGCTTTGGAGGAGCTACAAGCAAAAGGAAAGGTGAGATGTGCCGATGAAACATTTATTTGCTTAAGAAATATCACACGATTCCAAGACACGTGTAATGGGAACGGAGCTGGGCCACGGAGTATACATCCACGAAACCATCACC